TGACGCGCCAATCAGATCGTGACCTTGACACTCGAGTTGATCGGCCGGACGACAGCTATTTGATTCTCCTTAATCGTTTAATCAGAAGTCGATTCGGCTTGGGCATCACGAGCACACTTGTGGTATGACGCGCGTCGCTGCGTGGCAGGACGGATTTTGTGCACTCCGTCCTAGCAGTCGTACGCAAATTGTCTTCGTTTTCCTGTTACAGATCCTGGAGTCCACGTTTGCCGATGTGTTATGAAGCCTTTTGCATACACTTCGTCGCCAATATTGAGTCGACGTTTTGGTTGTGGTTTTTGAACTTCCATGGGTGCCGTACAACTATTGCTTGCGTGTGGTTTGGGGTTCATCATTTCTTATTCCGTCCTCATTTTCCTCCCCAACAAGCATTCACTGGATGATATAACGCTTGGCACGTTTTGATTTGGAGTGATTCCGTGGTTACCCGAAATTATATCAAGAATACTGTTCAACTGCTGGTTCTCCGGATATTTTCCTATGTGCCTTTTCAGTGTTCACAAATCGATCAACCTGGCCATTTGACAGTGGATGACACGGCGGGGTTCGTATGTGTACCATGCCATTGGATATTCAAAATTCGGAAAACTAGTGGAATGTAAACTGGGCATCATTATCTGAAATGAGGACATCTGAGAAACCCAACCTAGAAAATATGCTTCTAAGAGAGCTGATTGTCACTGGCTATTAGGGTGCTTTATATTGCCAATTTCAGGCCACTTCCAAGTGGAATCAACGGCAAGCAAAAGATGGACGTCACAAATCGGCCCAGCAAGATCAATATGGACGCGGGTTCATGGTTCTCATGCAAACGGCCATGATTGCGGTTCAAATCGTGGGGCTGACTTCCAAAATCATTAGGTATTGACTGCAATCTCCAACAAGCACTTCAATGTCGTGATCCATGAAAGGCCGATAAACATAACTGTACATGAGGTATTTCATCTTGTTTAGCCCCGAATGTGCCTCATGGAACTGCTTCAATTCATCCGTTTTCAGTGATTTTGGGATGACTGTTCTCTCTCCAAAAAGAAGACAGTCATTTATAATTGACGGAGAATCGCGTCGTGTGAAAAACTCTGGAATCGAAGGTTCAGAAATTCTCTTTGGCCATCCATACTTCATGAAGTTCTTTACATCGTTGATGACATTGTCAGTATTAGTGACTTGCTTGGTTATGTCTGCATTTATTCTCAAGCCTAAAATAGCATTTATGAAAACTTGTTGAACTTTTTTGACATCAGTCGATGCAACAACCTGTTATTCATCAGATTTTTTCTGTGATGATGTGAAACGGGACAATGCATCAGCATACCCAATATCTGCGGAGGATTTATGTTGAGTCTCAAAATTATATCCCAGTATGATCGTTGTCCATCATTGTAGTCGGTTAACGGTGTGTACATGAGTACCCTTTTTGTCGTTAAAAGTGGAGAGAAGCGGTTTGGGATTGGTTTGGAGAATAAACGTTCTTCCGTGGATTATTCTGTGAAACTTGCGCATCGCAAAAGCAATCACCAAGCCTCCTCAATTTTATTTTAATGGCGTTCAGCAGGTGTTAACGATCGGGAGGCATGTGAGATGGCCTTTTGGGAGCCATCCGTTAACCGATGTAATGATGACTGCTCCTACGCCATAGTCCGAAGCTTCCGCTGCTACAATGATGTCATGTGGTGGGTCGTAATGTGTTAACTATAAATGGAGTAGCAAAATCTTTTTGATTGATTCAAAAGCATGTTAATATTTACTGCCCCAATTCCACTTGGTTAAAGGGGAAATCGAATTGTTTAAAAAGAGACTCGGAATATTTGCATATCAGGTAAAAACTGACTGTGATAGTTGATGCCTAAAAATGACTGAAGGTGTGAACGTCAGTGGGTGTTGGCAAGTCACAAATTGGTTCAACCTTTTCTGGGTAGGACTGTCTACTAGTGGTATCTACAATAAATCCAAAATACTTGAAAGAGTTAGAAAATAAAGAAAATGTTCCTTTGTGAATATGAAACCCAAATGGTCGTACGCGAGTTAATACCTTGCTCAGTGGTGGAAATGCTAAAGAGCTCATTAGCATTGACAATGATAATGTCATCCATATAAGCGGCGGCGAAGAGTAATTCAGCTAAAATAGTGTCCGTTATCTGCTAAATTCTGGCAGGTGCACATATAACACCAATCTGTAATCTGTTATGTGATATGCCCATTTATGTGTATTTATGGTCAATAAATGTTTTGATTCCTGGTCGAATTCAACTTGTAAATAAGCTTCGGAAAAGTTGATCTTTGAAGATATGCTTTCGCCGTTTAATCTGGCGAAAAGATCCGCCGGCACTGAAAGAGGATACTGATAAATCTCCAACGAATCATTTTAACCCGTTGAACATTCTGCACAGACGCGAAGCGTGCCGTTTGGTTTCTTCACCACCACTGATGGTGCTGCCTATTCTGAATAGTTTACTGGGCTTTTGACCTCACCTGTTTGTAGCCAATTAAACTCATTACTGACCTGGTCCACCTCGGCAATTGAAACCGGTCTTTTTGGCCTGAATACGGCTTTTGCTTTCTATTTGAGATACAACGTCGCTTTGGTTTTGATGTACAATCCCAAACTGTTAGAGAAAACTGTGCTGTGTTCCGTCTGCAATGGAGTGATGAAGAAAGATACATCCACATTTTATCTTGTGGATCGATGTTTCGGTCCTTCAGATGAAAAAACTTAATGGATGTCTTTGGAGCTGGAATGACAAAATTTGTTCACAGGGATATACCAAAGTCCCAATTTGTCAATCCACTCAAACCCTACCAACTTGCGTGAACAGTCTTTGGCGACATAAGCAGTGGAGGTAAATTTCGTGCAACAAAAATTGCATACACATTTGGCTATTCCAGCAATAAAAATTTGTTTGTCCGAGGCGGTATAGGCTGAAGTATTCGTTTGTTGGAGAGGGCTTCTCATGAATAGCGTGGCAACATAATTATATTTGAGACAGATTCAAACTGAAAAATGAGCAGGACACTATTAACAACGGTAGACATATACTTTCGTCTAGAGAAAATTTTTGTAGTGGCAGAGAGAACAATACCAGAGTTAAACAATAACTCGGAATGACTCACTGAGNGTTTGCGATGTAATCGATTTTGCCTGAATGATGGCTGTTTGTAATGATAAGAGTTTGTGTGTTTGTGTCCTTTTCTACCACACACATGACACATTCTGTTGGCTTGTAGACAGTATTTCACGAAATGCCAGTCACCACATTTTCAGCCTGCTGTGGCCGGTCTAGACTTGGGGTTGACTGATGCATTACAAGCTTCCGTTTTGTTCGGGGAAACTTGTAGGCAATTCATGTTATTGTATTCCGGACCTTTTGCTATCAATGTGGAGTCTCTCTTTGTGGCTTCGNCTTCGATCCGTTGACATTCTTTCGCTATGTTGTGCAGAGTGAGGTTCGGGTAATTTCCGATTTGCGATAGTATACGGCTGCGTAATTCTGCATAGGCAGATGACTGTAATCCACCGACGATTAGCAAACATTTGAACTGGTCCATTGAGAGATCCTTTAGTTTGAACCGCTTGGCTTCCAGATTGATTCTCCCTGCATACTTCACAAAATCTTCTTGACTTGGAGTCACTGATTCCGTGGATGAAATGATGAAGCATGAGCACTGAATATTTGGGTAAGGTGCTCCACTGTTTCTTAAAAGCTGTATGTCCGTTGGTTTACTAGATAAGATACAGGTGGAATATCGTCGGTTTTCAACATCGCCAGCTGTTAGGTTTCCCGGATCGCCCAGGGCAAGAAGAAGAACAAGAACCGTCTGACCGTTAGATCAGTGTATATTCGAATGAATGCGTCCAGCACTAAACCATATGACACGAGCGAAAGTCATAACATCATAAGAGGGCAAGGTCAATGACACTCTGTTCACCTGCTGACTGTTAGCACCCCTAACAGATATATCCATCAATGCTTAAATGCCAGACGAAGCTCAGTCTCACAAGCCAGCTGCTTGGGCACCCCCTGGCTTCTTTTTTCTATCCACACCCGCCCCTGGAGAGGTCATTCCAGTAAAAAAGACACGGTGAGGGGCAGTTTACCGGTCAAAAAACCCCGCTAGATGGACGTAGGAGCGGGGTACCTGGGGCTTCCTCTCGACGGTGGGAGAAGTATTCGCACTTCATTGGACAGCTACCACCCGCCCAAGCTGGGCAGCCCCCAGCCAATAAGGTGCTGTCCCGTCCACGTNCGCTTGTCTCATTGGGTGCATGAGGCTGAGGGCTGATACCGAAAAGCAGACCGATAATCAACGCACCAGCGAACAACAAACTCAACCGGAATCCGAAGGTCTTGCGTGACACGTCTCCAGAAGCTCCCACATAGGTGCTCCGTTCACGCTCCCGCGTTAGATGTACGCCCCCCTGCCTTGTGGGTGAGACTTTGGAGTGAAAGGCTCCGGTTAGGGTTCCCGAAGAAAAAACCCCTTTGTCGATGTGGGCTATTGCGAAGTACCCTAAAGTTTTAGGCACTTATTTGAAAAGCCCTCCTTCCCATCTGTATTTCTTTCTGTCAGTCCCAGGTAATCCCAAGTGCCCGCTGTTAACAAGACCCATCAGATATCACTCAGCGTTTCGCCAACAAGTCGAAACAATTAGAAGTTACAGGACTTTTGAAACCGAAATTCCCTTCTCAGTCAACCGCGTTCAGTGTCCGCAAACTATCGGATCGGTCAACAGGCTGCCCTGGCTAGAGCCCTTGAAATTTTCAATTAAGATGTATGCTGTATTTCAGAAACACGTATACAAGACCCTTCTATTATCTTCCTACATTCTTCTGATCTAAATTGAACACCACGTTTCACCCTTCGTGTTTCAGGCGATTCAACGTCCAAAGCTTTGGTGTTGCTGGTGTTGCGATTGGACTCGGGAGAGCAGAGCTTTATGCTACCAAACGCGTCCCCAGGTAGGGGATAAGGGAACGGCCGTCAACTGGCGACTAACCGTGCATAATGTGGGCTTCGGACCTCCGAATAAGTGGTCGCGGACGAGCAGCGGGAGCGCTTGAGGTTCATTCAAATTCCTGGCAGGGGTTCTCCGCAGAAAACACGACAAATATGTGTGGGCAGTGCTGTGACGTGGCGAGAGTAGCCTGCCACTAAATATGGCCATAGCCCCTTGTCGAGTTCCTTTGCCCGACAAGGTTTTCAAGAAAAGATGAATGAACCGGAAACCGGCCACCGCCTCATATGGAACATCACCGCTGCCTTGCAGTTCGAGCTCGGTTGCGCAAAGGCTAGAATGCATCCTCGAACAAGGCTTGGTCTGAACTGACCGAGTAGTACAATAGCCCACAATGCAGACAACTGTGAACGTTCTCGATCTCATAATTTTGCACTCTAAACCTTCAACAATCGAAAGACTTTCTACACCGTACACACTATTTGCCCTCTCAACCTCCCCCACCACACCTCTACTCTCCCAACTTTTTTCCATCTCTCTCGAATAATTCAGACGATCTTACTAGCAGTTGTGCCTTGGACGGAAATTCGCCGCTGTTTGCTCTTGTCCTCGACTCACCGAATCCGCCACCAGCCGAAGCCCTTCTTCGCCCTCGATGCCCTTTCAAACTAGCCACATTTATTGTGCGCACTCTAATGCGTATAGGACAACAGGGCGGTTTGGATCGTACGCTCGAAACCTCAGCCATCGATGTGTGTTGTATCCAAGAGACGCATTTAAGACTTCAGTTCCGATTAACGTCCCCATCAAACCCATCAGTGAAGTTCCACTTATGCCTCTCTAGGGACCCTGAGGCTGCGGCTTCCGGTCTTGCTGGCGTTGGTGTGGCTCTCAGTGAGAGAGCTGACGCCGCGCTCCTGGACTGGTTCCCGGTCGAAAGCAGGTTGCAGACAGTGAGACTTATAGGTTCGTGCAAAGTAAACAGCCGTCGCCCCGATAGGTGAAACCTGTTTGTCGCTTCGGCGTACGCCCCAACGGATTGCAGCCGAGATGCAGTCAAGGAGGAATTTTACCATAATCTACACAACCTCCTGCGTAAAGCCAGTAGAGCTGACATCGTGAATTTAGCAGGAGATATGAATGCTAGAGTGGACCGGTTGACTTTGAGTGAGGCGCAGTGGGCGGTCCTTTTGGACTAAGTTCCCATCACTCGAAAAACGGGGGACGGCTATTGGCTTCATGTTCTGACTACCGTCTGTACCTCGCCAGTACGAATTACGGAGGCTCTAACTGCCGGTAGATCACTTGGCGTCCAACTTCCTCGAGTCAGCGACGAGCGCAGATGGACCACATTGCTATAAGCCACAAATGGCGGGATCCATTCAAGGCTGCCGATCATGCTGGAGCACTCCCCTCGATTCCGACCACGCGTTAGTTTTCGCCAAGCTATCCAAGTGCTTCGGTGGGCGTTCCAAACGCTTGACACATCGACGGTTGGACAATGATCAGTTGTCTGAACCAGCACGCCTTACAGTCTTTCAGAACGCGCTAGCTGAAGGTAGAATCAACCCCACTCAATGACATTAACCAGTACTTGTCGCTCATAAAGAATGCTCTGCATTTTGCTGGTTTAGTTAGTTGTGGTCTGACACGTCGTGCCGCGACACCCTGGATTTTTACGGAATCTCTACACCCTCTCGAAGCTAGCCAGTCTATCCCGACCGGCAGCGATCAGGATGAAATAAGACGAGTAACGACTCGTGATCTCAACGTAAGCCTAAGCGGAGACCGCGAGATCTGGTGGACTAAACGCGCGTTAGAGATGGAACGTGCTGCCACCATGGGAAATTCTCGTAAGCTGTTCCATTTCAAGCGGGTCGCCGGTAGGAAAGCCTCAGGTGTGAGCGAAACCATCTGCGAAGCTGATTGTTCGCCCATTCACAACCAACAGCAACGTCTTGCACGCAAGGCGAAGCACTTCAAGCACACTTCAGCTGGTCACCAGCGTCAGCTTCTCACAGCTATTCCCGCAAACGTTCCATGGTCTTTCACATGAGACCCACCTTCTGAGGCGGAAATCCGTAAGGAAATCAAAGCCTTGTGACGTCGCAAAACGCCGAGCTCCGGTGGCCGTCCCCCAGCTCTATTGAAAGATGGCGGAATTAGGCCTTTTAGATAACTACAAGTTCTGTTTTCTAAAGTGTGGAACATTGAGCAGTTCCCCTCCCCATGGGGGGAGTCGGTTGTTGTCCCCATCCCCCGACTGTCAACCCCACCTTCGAAAAGGGCCTGCACGATGACTGCGCCAATCATAGGGGCATAAGCCCCATCCCGATATCGTCAAAGCTGTTGGCGTCCGTCATTCTCCGCCTATTTTACACTATGCGTGAAGAGCAGATCCGCGAGGAGCAGGCTAGGTTTCGTGCCGGTCGTGGATGTATCAATTAAATCTTCACTCTCCGACAGCTGCTATAGCACCGTCATGTTTATCAACGACCAACGGTCATTGTATTCTTATACATCCGCGCGGTCTTCGACCCTGACGATAGGACCGCACTATGGAACTGCTTACTGAGGGATGGAGTACCTGAGAAGCATGTGTCAATCTTCAAAGAGTTTCTTCGTAATACCACAGATTGGGTTAGGGCGTATGGCCAACTTTTGCCACCCTTCGCCATCTCCAGTGTAATTCGGCAGGGCTGCCTTATATCCCCATTCCTTTTCAACTTTGTCATAGAGGATTTTCTTCAGAATGCTTTGTCCGGTCTAGCAAACAGTGGAGTCAAACGCCTCCCTGGGAACAGAGTTCTGATTTGGCATATGCCGATGAAATCGCCTTGCTGACTGGAAACACAGACAGTCCAAGACGCTTTAAACCGCTTGGCGATCGAGGTATCCAGGTATGGTATGTGCTTTGCACCTTCCAAGTGCAAGGTTCTGGTTCAAGACCGGCAGGAGCCTGTGCCTACACTCACCCTCTGTGGTGATTGGCTGAAAGTAGTGTACAACTATAAGAACCTCGGGAGTTTGATCGCATCTGGTGTTAGTGTCGGGGAGGCGATGACATCACGCATACATACTTTTACAAGTGTTGTGACCTAATATCCCGTAAACAACGTGTTTCTCAAATTGTTTCCATTCAATTCACTCCGTTCTTGTCCGTGGCACACGCTAACCAGGTAGCTATGTCCACTTTCTTAACCCATTATTACCAGTACAGTTTCAGTTTCAAAGCTGGATCTGTGGAACACAATTCAGTATGGTACACACTTTTACAAGTATTATGACCTTACATCCAGTAAGCAACATGTTTCTCGAATCATTTTCACTCAACCCACTCTGTCCTCGTCCATGGCATATGTTAACCAGATAGCTGTGTCCACTTTCTCGACCAATTCTTTACAGTACACGGAATCAGTTTCAATGCTGGATCTGTGGAATTAAAAACTCTGGTGCGCACTCGCAGAAGCATTTTTTTTGTCTTACCGCGCTGAAACTCCTCGATATGGTCTTGCGTCTATATTCACTCCGGTACCCCATCATTTTAGTAAAAAGTGGTAGATGTGCACTTATTTTTAGTATTGTTCTGCCGCATGCTCCGTTTCCCCCTCTCCCTTCCCTCTTCTGCTGGGTACTACCCCAGACTGCTGCATATCGCCTCTTTGTCCCAGATTCGGTTCTCTCGGGCCTGCTGAAGGCTTGGGATCCTCAACCACAAGGGACAAATTGGCTCCGGCAATGGTTGTTGGGCACGGCTGTTTCCACCGTTTTGACTACATGC